CTCACACAATGTGCTGTATCTATGGAGGAGCAGCAGCGTTGTCACCCCAGGACGGGACTACACAACACCTCCCCTTCTCCTCCTCTCCATACTGTTGATAGGCGCGGGGGTGTGTAGGTCAAAGAAGATAGCAGAGAATAAAGCTAAGATTGTTTACGGTTCCAGTTCAGCTCACAGGAAGTGACAAGGACGCGGGATTTCTGGCCGGATCAACAGGAATTTTCTGCGCTTGCTGAAAATGTGTTTCACCTAAAAAAACAGAAAACGAATGCGGCCGCCCTGTGGAAGGAGCTCCGAGGGCTGCAACATGTTAGGGTCAGTCTAATGGTATATAGTCCTCAGTTCTGCATTCCCCCATAGTGCATGCAATGTGCGGCCCCAGGGGCAAAATCGGCTCCTTGTGCAGGGTGACTGGTCTTGTCTCCGCCCCCTTCTGTAATAAAGACCACTCACTGCTGGCCTGTCTCCTTGTGCAGGGTGACTGGTCTTGTCTCCGCCCCCTCCTGTTATAAAGACCACCCACTGCTGGCCTGTCTCCTTGTGCAGGGTGACCTGTCTTGTCTCCGCCCCCTCCTGTAATAAAGACCACTCACTGCTGCTCTATCCTTGTGGAGGGTGACTGGTCTTGTCTCCGCCCCCTCCTGTAGTTTCCTGTAGTGGGTGGGGCCTGCTGGGCACAGACGGCAATAAAAACCTGACATGGGGGTCTTCCCTTCAGTCTTGCACAGTTGTACCGGCTCCTCCCCTCTTTCTCTGATATCACTGCACACTGGGAGGAGCTTCTCACAATGTGCATTCAAATCTGCAGCGAGCCAGATAGAGCCCGCCCACCTTTGGGACATCCAGCATCATCTAGCACTTTCCTCCCAAAGCCTGACTGTCCCTGGCCTTTGGATTTCAGTGATGGAGGCTCAGCATCACATGTGGGCGGTCCTCATGCAAACACAGCCCGCCTAGGAACGCCCACTCCTCCAGACCGACGCCCACCCATGCCCTTGATATTTGCATAACTCCTCCAAAGAGCCCGCCCACTGCTCGCATCGGGGCTGAGGGCTCTTGAGACGAGTACTAAGTCAGGGTGCTGCAATGTTTTCAGGAAGCTATGTGCAGGCCCCTCCCACCGGCCATATTTAGCCCCTCCCACCACCCATGATAGGTTTTATTTGTAATGGGGGAGGGCAAATTTAGGGCAGTCTATAAAATGTACGAGGTGCAGAAACGAGACAAAGCAAAACCCTCGGGGACTCCAGAGGTTAACTTTCAGCTTTTTTTTGGAAGGTCCTCATTGTGGGGGAGGGGTATGTGTCATCCTTGGACCTCCTCCTTGTTTGGGGGGGAGGGGACACATTGTTACATTCTGGAAGTTTCAGTGTGTCGGAACTCATTTCATTTCCTCTTTTCTTCAAAACAACCCCGAAAACCACCTCTGAATTCTGGAGGGAAATCCCTCCTCCCCCCCTCCCCCACCCCCTGTCATCGGGTCACCGGGACTTCCAGGAAACTTTCCTTCTTAAAGGTGAACTCCGAGCACAAAACACAATCCTCAGTGTCAGCACCCAACGCAATCACACACCCAGATATTACCTTGTAAAAGTAGCATCATCACCGCGCTGTACATAGCCTGAGCAGAGAGACCCCACCCACTATAGGAGGGGGCGGAGACAAGACCAGTCACCCTGCACAAGGAGGGAGTGCGAGCAGTGAGCGGTCTTTATTACAGGAGGGGGCGGAGATAAGACCAGTCACCCTCCACAAGGAGAGAGCAGCAGTGACCGGTCTTTATTACAGGAGGGGGCGGAGATAAGACCAGTCACCCTCCACAAGGAGAGAGAGCAGCAGTGAGCGGTCTTTATTACAGCAGGGGGCGGAGGCAAGACCAGTCACCCTGCACAAGGAGAGAGAGCGGAAGTGACTGGTCTTTATTACAGGAGGGGGCGGAGATAAGACCAGTCACCGTGCACAAGAAGAGCAGTCATCGATGTGGAAATCCAACATGGCTGACTTGTGTCACTGACCTGGAACAAGCATGCAGCCAGTGAGGGGTGCAGGGTCTGGCTCTGGGTTAGCGGTCAGTGAGGGGTGCAGGGTCTCGCTCTGGGTTAGGGGTCAGTGAGGGGTGCAGGGTCTTGCTCTGGGTTAGGGGTCAGTGAGGGGGGCAGGGTCTTGCTCTGGGTTATGGGTCCGTGAGGGGTGCAGGGTCTCGCTCTGGGTTAGGGGTCAGTGAGGGGTGCAGGGTCT